ATCAATAACCTGCCCAGCCACACTCCCCCGGGCTTGTCACTGATAGCGCCTCACTCTTCTCCTCTGCAGCTTCAAATCTGGTGTTTTTTTGAGCTGTAAATGTGGGATAATCACCTCACATTAAGAAAGGCTGCATTACACTTGACTAATGTTCCACCTCAGCCAGCATCCTGTCTCTGACAGTGACCAATTGCAGGTGCCCAGACAGCCTGCAATAACAAGTCATCATATTCTATTTAATGCTGTTTTTTTTTTCTTCTATAAACGTGTCCAGTCATTTCTGACTCCACTCGTAAACTTTCTGTATCCTGTGGTGAGGAGTTCTACACCTTTACCTACTGAGAGAGAAATATTTTCTCCTGCAAATTTACATTTTATAGAAAATTATACTTAATGGTCACATGTGTAAAGGGGTCCAAACAAGCTATTTTCCCCACAGGACCACATGAGCCCTTGGCATGCCTTTCCTAAAGGAAGGAATGAGATGGGACCGTGTGCTCTGTCAGAAACCACAGCTAAAAGTTGCAGCCCTCAGAAAGAAGGCTTCTTTCCTGATCATTTGGGGTTATTTGGATTTCTTTAGCTCCCACATACATGCCAGACCAGGAAAAACGGTTAGCACTTTTCTGGGTGCACGCAATTCTATTTCAAGTCCTGAAAGACTGAACTTCATCCTAATACGTGCTGTAAAGATGTATCTGCAACACCATAAAATTGGAGCACAACTACATAGGGTACAACACCCCTAAAGTAGGAGGAGAGCCTGTTAGGATTAGATGAAGCTGAAAACTGAAGTGGTAACTGGGAGAAGAGAAGGAAGCATCAGGTTTACAGTCTACAACCACAGGGTTTGGATTAGAAAAGGCTGTTTCGTTCTGCCCTCTCACGGCAAAGAGCACGTATTGCAAGGAACAGCAAATCAGGAGGTTTCAGATTTTTTTCCTTATGAATTAAAGGATAACTTGCAACAATTTGCTTTAACCCAAGCCACGGGCTCCTGGTGCTCCCCTCTCTAGCCCAAGAAAGGAAGAGCTCCCAGTTTCATCTCACACTCTGGGCACAGCTCCCCGGGCAAGATTATGTCCATGCTAGATGGCGTGCCCTGCCATGGAGATATCCGTGTGCGAACTTAGAGCAGGGCTGAGACCACTCCCAAACTCATTTCACAACAGAAGAGCCATGGATGTGAGCAGCTTTTCGCCACTACAGATCTGTTATTTACTGAGGGAGAGGTAACAAGGTTTGAATCCCAAACATAAAACCCCATAAAAATGACATCTATATATGCAGGAGGCTCTTGAGATGGCATAAGAAAGTTTCCTAGTTGCCAAGTACCAACATTTTTGTCCCTCTGACACAGATGCACTCAATTAGAAATCAAACCCCGATTCTCCTTACTTGTGTCAATGAAGACAGCATCCACATAGATTTTGGTACAGAAGGAGCCCAAGATAAATCCACAGGCTGGTCCAAATACCAGCATCGTAAACAGGATCCCTGAAAAGAGAGAGAAAGCAGAACGTTAATAACAGGCTCAGATTATTCGTTGCAAGTTGCTTTGCTTGCCTTCGTACTGCCCTCCTGGCGCCAAACAGATACGGATTGGTTTCTGTGTCAAGTGGATGTATGCCTTGGACTAAAGGGCTCCCTAAATCTTTCTTGCTTTGCCACAGTCCTTCTTCGCATTTCCTCACAGCTCCTCCACTCCTCATGAGGACTCACTTCTCTTCCATACCTGTCTAGTGACAGACAAAGAGGTGACTGGCGGCGATTGTGAGTGATTCACTTATTTATTTGTGTTAGAATTATATTTAAAATTCTTTATTCTCACTCTCTTTTGGCCCTGAAACAGGAACGCTATAGGCACACTGCCAGCTCTCAATTACCCAGGGCAGAAAGGCAGGAGGACAAGAGAATCACCCAGGGAAAGAAGCGGCACCGATAACAAAAAGCTCACAAAGTCGGCAAGAGGAACATACTTAGTACAGTCACATTTAGGACGGAAAACAAGAAAAATTCCCTGAGGAGCCCTGTAAAGGAATTTCTGAAGAAAGCAAGTGCAGGTCTGAACAGGAACAGGCAGAGCCCCTGTCCCCCAGAGCCTGTTTGCACACTCTGGGGACAAGCTTTGCCAATCAACCTGGGTGGCAATGGCAGCTGCCTCACCACAAGGGAGGCACCAAACAGAGCCTTGTTGTCTCTGCACCTCAAGAGTGTCCCATGAGGGAGCTTATTTGTTTCTGGGGTGTTCTCCTCTTCAACAATGAGATACATCCCACATTTCTCTCCAAATCTCACTGCAGGTGCTGCCTGGCATCTTGCTAACACATTTAATTGCAGCAAGTTACTTAGCTGGAAACTTTTAATTCTTACATGCTCTCTCTCTGAACAGCTCTCAGGAGTTGGAGAAAAGATCAGAGCTGCAAAATATCCCCTGGAAATCCCCACTCACACACAAGGCAAACTGCACCTGCTGTGAACAGAAAAAGTTGGCACAGTCGCAAATAACTTCACCTTCATTTTTACAATACCGGACACAAACTAATTTCTCCAGGTCTGTGGTACTATCAATTAACATCTGGATTAGCATTTGAGAACCAAGCAATAGCTTCATCCAGCCACTTGCACAGAACAGACCTCGCCAATACCCTCACAGCAATCGCCAGCAGGAGCAGCAGGAGAAACGAGGGAGGTGGAAAGAAAAAAAACATCCCATTCCCTCTTCATACAGGAGCTGGTAAGAAGTCGGGTGCTCAGGACTACAGAATTTCCAAAAGCCTTTTCTAAAACACCCACGTAGTGTTTTTTCCATCGCTAGATGGCATTAGTGGCTGATGTTCAAGCCAGGCCCGGGCTGGCACTAGCCCTGCGCGAGCCAGGGTGGCCAGTGCAGGGCTGTGCAGAGCACCCAGGACCCTGCTCACCCGGCAACACCATGAAAAGCGCCTGCACATCCCGAGCTCCCCATATCCTACAGCTCTACCTGGGGTTAAACAGCCCGCAGCCAAAGATCGGGTAGAGCTTTGATGCCTAGACAATAATTACAAAAATTAAAACAGGCAGAATTGTGGTGAGATCATCCTTCATAAAAACAAAACAAACACACACAAAAAAAAACAGGGATGATTTTCCATTTCCAAAAAAGGGAGAGGCCTTTTGACACTGAGCTGTCAATACTCCTGATACACATGCAAAGAGGCAGTTCAAGCAAACAGCTAACTGCAAGAAACCTGTATCAAACACACACATTTCTTTTTCCAAGGCAATCCTTGCAACTGGGGAATGTTCCTGTTCCTCACACTTCTTGTGCTGCTGCAAACAACCATCTCAGGCACAAATCAAGCCCTGTCCCCACATATTAAAACGCCACATTTTCTAAGCCGGCAGCTGAAACCCGGGACATGCTGTTCACTCAGAAATGTTGTCACTAGAGGGCAATGTGGGATAAAGTATCCACTGAACGGGGACACAAGACTTTAAGATATTAAGTGGTCATTCACCTCGAGGCCAGGTGTAAGAAACACTGACGTTGACTGTGTTTTTACTTCCACCTGAAATGCTGCAGACAACAAACATGCACTCTCCCGATGCGCTCTGTGCCATCGTCTCTCAGGATTCCAGCAAAATCTCCTGTTTGCAATCACAGTGTGCGGAACCAGATGAAATACAGCTACCTTGGTCCTGAAAGGGCCTGAGGCACAGGCTGATGTGGCAGCTCAGCCAGGCTTTCTAGAGGGCTGGACTGCCCTCAAGGCTCAAAAGAGCATCCCACGGTACCCATGAAGGCTATCAGGATCCCACTCGTGGTTCAACATTCATGGGGAATTGAAGGCTCAGAGGGAAAATACTCAAAGCAGAATTAGCTTTAGGAAGCCTCCTGCTTTGCAGAAACTCTCTGCAATCACTAATCACCACAGGTTGTAGCAAAACACTTTCCACATTGCTCACTAGTAATGCAACTAAGCTGCTGCTCACTAGCAGGCAACAGGTCTGGCAACCGCCTTTTCCCAGCTCTGGAGTTGCTGGTAAGCATAAAGATGTGTTAAACTTGTGGATAACTTTAACACCACTGCTAGGTTTTTTTTTTTTTTGCTCTCAGGAGCAAATGGACGAAAGGTCTCTGTTATAGTTTATCCCCAAACTCCCACCTATGGCAATAAAACTGGAGATCAGCTCAGGCTTCTTCGGCCTCTTCCCCTTTCTTCATTTCGTTCTCAGTTCAGGATTTATTTCAGTTGCTTGGAGTAGCACATTCAGTAGCCAATATTGGTCTTGAGAAAACAGAGGGAGAACAAAACTGGAACTACCAGCTCCAGTGCTACCTTGGAAATAAATTTCCACTCTGCAGGGCTGTTTGTTGGTCCTTTGGAGAAAGGTCAGTGCTTCATCCTGAACCCAGTGTTTCAGGAGCGGGATATGCTCCCTGGTTAGTTAACACTACAGACCTTCTGGGAAAGGCGGATGGAAAAGGCTTCGCCTTCGAGTGGTTTGTGGGTTTTTTTTGTTGGTGGTGCTGACAGTGTTTCTTACTTCTTTTCTTCTCCCCCAAATACAGCACATATCAAAAAATATTTGAGAATTGAGGAAAAAAAACATTTTGGATCAATTCAAACGTTTTGTCTGATAACTCAGAGATATTTTAGCTTGGGACTTTTTAAAGTAGAATTATGCTTTACTTTGCAAAAACTTATTTGTTTTGGGAGTGCATAGAGATTCAGTAAGTAGCGGTATGCTGGAAGTACCCTATACGTGGGGGAAAGAAAATGAAAAAGTCATGCTAAGCTGCCACCTTCTCCTGCTTCACATTCCCCATAAGTCTTCATATGAAACATTACAAGCAAACTTACTTTGACCAAAAATGGACTATGTTATAATGTATAACAGCAGCATATATTTTTGACTTGTTCCTTACATTTATATATGATTTAAGGTCTCCTTCTAGGACACATCTGAACCAAACACACCAGCTTCAAAGGAGCTGGCCCCGGCCTATAGAAGTGGGTGCTAAAGCAAGCTCTTATTCCAGAGAAGTTAAAGGCTTCTGTTGTCATCTCCCTCTGTATCAAACTGGTCCAAATATCAAATCTCCAGCCAAGAAGGCTCTGGTGCCGCTTCCAGGCAAGACAGCCCTGCAGGAGCTTTCAAGCTCGAGGCAATGCAGACAGCTGGGAAATGCAATGAATGGTTTTACATATGCACTCTGTAGTTAAGGAGCAGTAAATCTCAGTTTCTAATAGCCTCTGAGGTCAGACTGAGCCAATCTCCTTGATGTTAGGACACTTAACAAGGGGTCTGGGACAGCGACTCATTGAGGCTGTGTGATTAGAGTGAAGTGGTGGTGCTGGGAGCACACCCAGCCACAAACTGCACTGGAGGCTGCTGAGATGCCGGAGCGGAGCCCGAGGCGTTCACTAACCTCAGACTGTTTGGACAGCAGCGTCCGGAACATCACCCCACCACAAAACCTTTTTTCTTGTACAGGGAATGTCCTTCTCTTCTCCACAGGGGATTAGGAAACAAAGGGCTGTGTCCTGCCCTCTGGGATCTACCTAGGGCAAGGATCAAACTGTGCTTGTGTGTTGTGTCCCAACACACTGCACCTTCCTAACTGCTGCTTCTGCAGCTGATCTGACCTGTCTTCCTGCCACCAGTAACTGCACTGGGTAGTGCATAGCTGGTATCAGCTTCCAAACCAGTTTTTGGAGATATGTGACTTGACAGGCATCACAGCCTGATATCCAAGAATTCACCCAGCACTGTGGGTCCATCCAGCAGTACAGCGTGAGCACCATCTGGCTGCCAGGACAGAGCTCTATTCATAGCTGAGCTGCCTGCTTTAAAGCCTACCTTGAGCACATCCTTCCTGTGCAAACATACCCCAAGTCGCCAACTTTCCTGGCTTGACAAAGCTGTGTGCTTGGCACGTGAGAGAGGAGCACTCACTTTGGAGAGCCGGGGAAAGGAAAAGGGACAGGAGAGAGCACTGCGAGCCAAGAGAGGTTGTGGAGTCTCCTTCTCTGGAGATCTTTCAAACCCGCTTGGATGCAGTCCTGTGCCACATGCTCTAGGTGACCCTGCGTGTGCAGGGGGTTGGACTAGATGACCTCTAGAGGTCCCTTCCAACCTTAAGCATTCCGTGATTCTATGATTCTATGAAAACGCCTCCTTTCACAGGGCTCCTGACTGATGAGGCTGGGCACCAAGAAAAATTACAGCTTCTTCTCAAAGTTCCCTGTCAAAACAGTCCTGCCGCCAATCACAAGACAAGGGAAGTCATGCTTCAGCTCTTCTCAAAGTGAGGATTTTTTTGATGCTGGGAGGAATTTTGTTTGTGATGCAATTTGGAAAAGTCCAGTTGCAAAGTCCCTTGGCAAAGTAACTACCTGCCAAAAAAGCCCTGGAAAGCACCATCAGAATCACCTCTGGAGAGCTGCATTCATAGGGAAAGTCTGCTCGAGTCATCTAGATGCCCCAGAGAATATTGTTCCCCATTTCCATGGGAAT